TTCTTAGTAACCATCAATATGCTGTAAAAAGTTAGTATCTTAAAAAATGTTTCCATATTTGAATATACAATAGGAAAGTTTGATTAACTAATTCCAAATATGGTGTCAAATTGTTATATTTCTGTAACCTTGTAGTTGCGGCTATACAATGAACAAAATCACCTTTATTCATCGTTGCTATGGCAACACGGTGAACATACATGTAGTTGCCATAGCATCAATCAAGCAGAAATATGAAAAGGTCATCACACATCATCAGAAAAAGAATTGATTAAGACCGAACAGTGTTTGATGGTTCTTCTCAAAATCCATTATTTTTTCTCTAAAGTCATTAATGTTGAAAGAGATCCTTATTTCCTACATACCAACCTGCATAGTAAACTTTAACATGTAATATAATTTTGTAAAATCTAAATATGTTTATAACATCTCAGTAATAGATAAAAATGACATGCTGAGTCCAAAAATGGTGTCAGATTTTAGAAAGGACATTATTCAGGAGGTCTTCAGTTGAGAAAGGCAACTAAATCAGTCGTTGCTATGGCAACCAAGTGGACATAGTTACCATAGAAATGGCCAAATAAAAATATTAGAATGTTATCAAACGTCATTGGTCAAAAAAGTGAATAAAATTGGACAATGTATGATACTGTTGCTCAACTTCTATTTAAATTAGTTTTTGTTTTCTAAAAATCACTTTTGATATTTTTATACGATACCTTAAAAACCTGTATAATAAGAAATAACATGCTGTATCTTTTCCTCAAATGTGAATATTTTTATGAAAACTTCAATACAAGGTATAAATGACCTGCTGAGTCCAAAAACATTGTCAGATTTTAAAGATAACATAATCCGAGAGGTCTACAGTTGACCAAACCAACTGAAACTGCTGTTGCTATGGCAACAAGGTGGACATAGTTACCATAGCAACAACCATAAAGAAATGTTTGGAGGTCATCATACATCGTTGTTTTGTAAAGTGTTGAAGATTTGACAATATTTGATACTGTTGCACAACATTTATTTATCTATTTAATTTCTTTTAATTTTCAAAAAACTGCTAAATTTGAGTTTTTTATATGGGTCCTTACAAACCTGCATAGTAAGAAATAAACTGCTGTATCTTTATATAAAATTTGAATTTTTTCATGAAAATTTCAATTTCAGGTAATTTTGACCTGCTGAGTCCAAATATGATGTCAGATTTTAGTAATATGGTAATCTTGGGCATCTACAGTAGACTTAACCAGCTGAAATTACTGTTGCTATGGCAACAAGAGAGACATAGTAACCATAGCAACAACAAATAAAATTTGTCACAAATCTTTCATACATCATAAGTATGAAATTTGACCAAGATCCGGTCATGTTTGATAATTTTGGTAAGCCCCTAAAAAAACCTGAATAACTAATCATAGTATATAATTTCGTCGAGAATGCGGGATACAAGATGCCAAATACTACACATTGCAACAATGCCATGATGAGGATTATCATCTGTTGAAATTATATAGATTCAAAAAGCCAATTTGTTGGAGCAGTCCAAGTCCGACATAAAGAAAACCCCGATTTTACAGCACGGTAATAGAATCCCTATCTATATGACATAATTGATATATCAAATCCGTTCTGCTAATTCCCTACGTCCAATGATTCCGCAGATTACCTCTAGATTTTAGACTTATTTTAGTTCTTCGGTTCTATAGGACCTCGGTGACTATCTAGTACGGAAATCTGGAAATCGTATTTTTCTTTTGAGAGTACACACGTGCATACACGTATCTACGCCACTGCACCATTGGACTTTATCGTCAAAGAAAAAGAAAGTATACACTGATATATACTATATATCTTCCCTTGGTTGCTACGGACGCTCGGGAAGATATATTGTATATCCCTCGGGATATTCCCTGTATCCAAAACCTCCCAGTGCATGACCTCTATTTATCCCATAGTTGAGGGCAAATCTATAGGATAACATGTAAACATATTTATACGGATATTCCACAAATATCACAGTTCCCAAAATCGTAGGATATCCTATACATTCACACTGTATGCTGTCGCCCTCTTTATGTTTTGGTCGTAAAATATCAGGTTGTCAATCTTGCCTTTCTTAAGGTTATGTAATTTAAGTGCAAACCACTTTTAACACCTTTATATTTTATCCTAGAATTAATTCCATATTCTGCAGTCTGCACATTCTTAGCTTTAAAATGTTACCAAATTCGTTCTGCTCTTTTTAGGTATAGACGACGATTTATAAGAATATCACAATTATGGATGTAGAGAGCTGCGCAATAAATGATGACGTAATCAAACGCTTCATAAGTTCTACGTTACACGGGAATACTGAACATGCTATAAGTGAGTTGCAAAATCTCGCAATTGTCCACCATGACAACGCTTTGCCCCATCATGGTAATTGAAATTGAACACATTACAATTTTGTCGCTCAAAATATTTGAATTGTAGTTTATTTTTAAGAGGTAAATAATAGCAACGTAAAATTCTCTAGGCGTATGGCGAGGTCTTGTAAATTTTAAAACAAACCTATGTTACATGAAGACAAGTTATGTTCTTACATAAAAAGTTTTATTGTTTTTAACAAGTGCTTTTGAAACATGTGTTGTTGAGCATTTTGAGGAAGTCCATCGGTAAACGGTTAATATCAAGTGTCGCATAAGTGTGAAATAGCAGGATCGACCCGTTTTACATTCAATATTCAGAGTAACTGCTTGTTAAAAGCAGAAGTGTCACCATTCAAGGGTCTACTAAATCATGATTTGGAATGTAATCAAATCTCTATGTCAACTATTAAAAATTTTTGGATGAAGGTAGATATAATTAAATTTTTATTCCCTGTTTTATATCTGTTCGGTATAGATGGAACGGGTCTAGATTAATTTGATACACAACTAGATCTTTGGTGTATGTACATATTTATAGGGTTTATTTTCATATCTCATATTCCATATATAATATTTTATCGTTCCCTTATACTGTTTTTCTACCAGTTTAGATCAGATACATTAAAGGGGCAACAAGGTCTGTAGAGAGAAAATTCGATTTTTTTTATATTTTTCTGAGCTTTCAGGTCAATATTTGGCTCATCATCTTCTTTGACATACCTATTTTCTTAAAATGTATGGATCTAAATTACGAATAACATGTTTTGCTTTATAACTCTTCCATTTCTTATATATGTATTATAAATTTATATATAAATTTATATTAAATATAATGAATGAATTTAATTAATGACCATTGGTAGATAATATCACTTACCTTAGTGACCATTATTGCATATTCTCACTTACCTTAGTGACCATTATTGTTACATATTCTCACTTACCTTAGTGACCATTGTTACATATTCTCACTTACCTTAGTAACAATTGTTACATCCAACTAACTCTTAAGAAAGGTATTGCAATTTCTAAAAATAGGTCAACAAAGTCGAGGTCAACGTGACTTAGGGGGTGCAATTTTTTGACATTTTGTTAAAAATGTCAATTTTCTTTCAAAATACATTTTTGGGATGCAAAAAATCCTACGCTTCTTAAAAAAGTAATCTGTTGTCTTTCAAATGCAACTGAAATCAAGGTAAACGCTTTTCTAACTGAACTCATGCACTTTCAAAGATAGCAAGTATTTAAAATCCCATTTAAACCAATGTAACGCGAAAATAATCAACAATTTCGAACTTGTTTTTCTCTTTAGCATTCATATTTCAAGATGTACAACAAATACCAATCAGTGATTTAGTGAGAAAATAGATACTTAGCATTATTCCAATATAATGTTAGTCCATTATTTTGCCTAGCAACCACCTAACAACGGAATAAACATCAAATTAGTGAATTGAAGAATTAGGAGTAGGAGAGAATATAAATTATGTCTAAAATTTAGGAAGAGGGTATCATCATAATTCTGTTGCCACCGTGTGATAAACATTTAGGAATATGCAAAAAATTACAAAGGCAAAAAAATATCAAAGAAATTTAAAAAACATGGAAGAGAGACTTGAGATGATATGATCTCATAACAAACATGAAGAGGATTTCAAAGAAATTTGAATAACATGGAAGAGAGACTTCAGATGATCTAATAACAAAGATAGAGAGGTTTTCAAATAAATTTGAAAAACATGGAAGGTAGAGACTCTCGATACCATCCTGTCGTAACATACATGTACATGGAGAAGGTTTCAAAGACATTTTAAAAATATGGAAGAGAGACTTCAGATGGTATGATCTCATAACAAACATGGAGAAGATATCAAAGAAATTTTAAAAACATGGAAGATAAAGACTCTCGATACCATGCTCTCGTAACAAACATGGAGGAGATTTCAAAGAAATTTGTAAAACATGGAAGGTAGAGACTTTCGATACCATGCTGTCGTAACAATCATGCAGAAGGTTTCAAAGAAATTTTAAAAACATGGAAGAGAGACTTCAGATGATCTCATAATAAACCTGGAGGAAATATCAAACAATTGTTTAAAAACATGGAAGAGAGACTTCAGATGGTATGATATCATAACAAACCTGGAGGAAACATCAAACAAATTTTTAAAAACATGGAAGAGAGACTTCAGATGGTATGATATCATAACAAACCTGGAGGAAACATCAAACAAATTTTTAAAAACATGGAAGAGAGACTTTAGATGGTATGATCTCATAACAAACATGGAGAGGATTTCAAAGAAATTTGAAAAACATGGGCGATAAAGACTCTCGATACCATGCTTTCGTAACAAACATGGAGGAGATTTCAAAGACATTTTAAAAACATGGAAGAGAGACTTTAGATGGTATGATCTCATAACAAACATGGAGAAGATATCACAGAAATTTGAAAAACATGGGAGATAAAGACTCTCGACACCATGCTCTCGTAACAAACATGGAGGAGATTTCAAAGACATTTTAAAAACATGGAAGAGAGACTTTAGATTAGCTATTTATGTTCGGTGAAGCGGAACGCAGTGTAGCGACTTGAGAACATAAATGATTTCTATTGGCTGAACGGTTTGGCGGTTATTTGTGTTTGGAGTGAGTGAGTAAGTGTTAGGAACACGTCATTCTGAGGCTTGCCAGCGTGCGAGGAATACACTATTCGATGGCTACTTTAGATCAAGTGAGAGAGTTACTCACTGATTCATTTGACAAACTAAAGCGTGAAATCAAAGAAGATGTTACAGAAAACTCAAATAAACTTGCTAAAAAGCTAAAAAAGGATGAAAAGTCTCTAGAATTCAAAAACAAAGGAAATAAAATTCAATACGAATTCAACGCGGGCGTAATCGACACGTTCGACGAAATTTCTGGTAAACTAGATCAGTTGCTGGAAACTCCAGATATAGACAAACAGCAGGTCATTATGGATGATTTGAAATCTTCTACCAAAGAAGGGGCAACAACAGGCAAATCCAGCCAAGCCTTTATCACGGGAAATACGGTACGGCCAACAATACGTCATGGTTCGACAACCGACATGCAGGGCAGTTCGGAAAAGGAACACAACGTCAGCCAAGAACGTCCGATATTTGCTTTTCCTGTGGCGAGACAGGACATTGGAGAAACGAGTGCCCAGGTCAAGGTCAATTCAGCGGCAGCAATCGCTTCAACAAGTAAAGGCGTCGTAGATAAGTTAAGTATAGTACAATCTAGCGATTTGTTCAATCCTTCAAACTCAGATTTCGAACGTCTTGGTTCAAAGCTACTTGTAAAGGGTAATTTAAAACGAAACGAGTCATTTTGGAAAGACATTTTATGTGCAAATAGCAGTGTATTAGACATAGTGGAAAACGGATATAAAATCCCATTTGTAAACACTCCATCACCTGCTTATTTGAAAAACAATCAATCTGCTTTGAAAAATGTCACGTTTGTTAATGAGGCCATTAGGGATTTGGTAATATTAGGGTGTGTAACAGAAGTAGACGAACCTCCTTACATAGTTAATCCCTTGACGGTAGCTACAAGCTCTACAGGTAAGCAGAGGTTGGTATTGGATTTAAGGCATCCTAACCAGTATATTTGGCATGATCAAGTTAAATATGAAGATATAGTTACTGCCAAAAATTATCTAGAGCCAGGGGCATTCATGATTAGCTTTGACATCGTTAGTGGTTACCATCATTGTGATATTTATCCACCTCATCGTGGATTCTTAGGCTTCTCGTGGGATTTTGAGGGAACTGACGGTAGAGAAGTTACGCAGCGAGAGAGCAAGGTCGATCTCGATGTGAAAAACAAGGTCAGGAAGTATTTCGTTTTCAACGTTTTACCATTTGGCATTAAAACTGGAGGGCTAGTTTTTACAAAGTTATTCAGGTGTTTGATAGCTCATTGGAGATCGTTGGGATTACAGGTCGTAGCCTATTTAGATGACTCGATTTGCATCAGTAAAAGTCTACCTGACGCTTTAAATGCCGTGGAACAAATGATCACAGATTTTTCAAAATCAGGTTTTGTTGTTAACCAACAAAAGTCAAAAGTGATACCTACAAACAAATTAGTCTGGCTCGGTTTCGAATTTGATACATTGGGTTGCAGTATCTATGTGCCTAAAACAAATTTGTGCCTAAAACAAATTTGACTGAAAAAATACAAAACGTTTTACGTTGTCGTTTCCATGTCACATTTCGAGTCATTGCACAAATAGTTGGTTCAATCATTTCTTTGAAGCCGGGCATGGGAGACATTTGTCAATTGATGTCAAGACATTTGAACAGAAAATTGATGGAGCTGAAATGTTGGGACTCATTTACGGCACTGTCAAACACTGAGGTGAAAGAATTGGTATTTTGGCAAAGTGAGTGTGAAGCATTCAACGGGGTTTCATTTGTTAAAGCTGCAGTTCCCGAAAAACTGGTGTATTCTGACGCGTCAGACAGTGCATGTGCAGGTTATATTGTCAATTTTAACGGTGAATCATGTCGTAAAAATTGGTCACAAGCAGAAAAAGTTAAAAGTTCGACTTGGAGAGAGTTAAAAGCTGTACAAGTGGTCATGCAATCTTATTTAGCTCATCTTAAGAACTCAGCTGTTTTATGGTTGTCAGATAATAAAAATGTGGGTAGCATCATTTGCAAAGGTAGTATGAAATCTGATCTACAAGAATTAGCGGTTTCCATTTTCCAAATGAGACGAGAAAATTGCATTGATTTGAGAGTTCAGTGGGTGCCCAGAGAAGAAAATGTTTTGGCTGATTCAATGAGTAAAGAAGTCGATTCAGACGATTGGAGAGTCAAACAGAACATGTTCAACTTTCTGAATAAAAGATACGGTCCACATTCCTTTGATAGGTTTGCTGCGTCTGACAACGCTCTTGTTGACAAGTTTAACTCAAAATATTATGAGCCCACGTCTTCTGGTGTCGATGCATTCAATTTTGACTGGGGAAAAGATAACAATTGGCTAGTACCGCCTGTGCATTTGATCGGAAAAACTGTTAAACACGCTGTGAAATGCAAAGCTATGGGAACCTTGGTAGTTCCCAAATGGCCATCATCTTATTTTTGGCCTTTGATTTGTGTCAATGGTAGTTACAAACACTTTGTTATAGATGTCTTAGAATACGCTCATTCTACAAAAGTCATTGAAAAGGGCAATTTTGAGAACACGATATTTGGTACTGAAAAGCTGAAATCACACATGTTAGTAATTCGTTTGAACGGGAAAGTAGGTAGTTAGATTTTTGTACACAAGAGCACATCGTATTGTACAGGTAAACACATCGTGGTGTAAAATTAAGCACATCGTATTGTGTATGTTAGCACATTGTAATGCGCAGGGTAGCACATCGTATTATGCAGAGCAGCACATCGTATTGTGCAGAGTAGCACATCGTATTGTGCAGGAAGCACCCCGTGAGGTGCATGTTAGCACATCGTATTGTGCATGGTAGCACATCGTATTGTGCAGGAATCACCCCGTGAGGTGCATGTTAGCACATCGTTTTGTGCAGGTTAGCACATCGTATTGTGCAGGGTATCACATAGTATTGTGCAGGAAGCACCCCGTGTGGTGCATGCTAGCACATCGTATTGTGCAGGGTAGCACATAGCATTGTGCAGGGTAGCACATAGCATTGTGCAGAAAGCACCCCGTGTGGAGCATGTTAGCACATCGTATTGTGCAGCTACAGGTAAGCACATCGTATTGTGCGGGGTAACACATTGTATTGTGTAGGATAACACATCGTAACGTGCCGGTTATCACATCGGTTGTGTGCAAGAGGCATCCTGTGGGTCGCAAGTAAGTACGTTGCATCGTGAATTTTTTATTTAACACATAAGTGCATGTTAGTATATCGTATTTTGCAAGACAATAATGTGCAGTTTAATACATATTATGAGAACACATATAGTATAAATGTTCGGCCAACCTGATTTTGTCGCACAAATTACACGTAGTATATTAAAATATTTACTTGTATGACGTATATTTTCATTAAAAAATTACAGAAAGTGTTGTCGCTACATTCGCATATATTAGATTTAGCATATTTGATTAAAATGTTATGGTTTTTAGACCCCGAAGCGGACACTTGGATGCCAGTGTTTGAATCCAGTTATTTGTAGGTTTGGATGAAGAAGGCACTATTGGTGACGACCGGGTGTACATTCTATTTTGTTTTGTATTTTAAATACTGTATTATATTCTTAAATGGTTCTGGATGTACTTCCAGGCTGATAGAACATGGTACGAGAAACATTGGCGCAGTATCAGATTCAAGCTTAAAAGCTTTGTCGCATGGAGTGATTACAACCATAGTTAAGTGTAGCAAAGCAGACAATACGATCAAGAAGTATTCCTTTTATTTCAAGAAATGGCAGGACTGGGCTTCGCAATATAAAGAAATAACTACGTTACCAGCAGAGCCAAAATACATTGCTATGTTTTTATTATTCCTCAAAGAAGAGAACTCATCTTACAGCGTTTTATCAGCTATCAAAGCTGCTATAAGTTGGGCACACAGTAGTGCTGGTTTTTCAAATCCGTGTGATTCTCCATTAGTCAACAACATTTTAGAAGCGTCTAAAAGGATACAGTACAAACCAACTTGTAAAAAGGAGCCAATAACTCCTGAAATGCTATCTCTTATGGTTTCATCTTTGGGTCACGCTACTTCCTTGAAATCTCTTAGAGACGTGACTTTGTGTATTCTTGGTTTTGCAGCATTTTTGAGATACGACGAACTTTCTACAATAACATACGGTGACATTTGTTTTTATAGTGATCATTTCAGCATCAACATTGCTACTTCAAAAACTGATAAATACAGGGATGGTGCTACCGTCGTTGTTGCTAAAACAAGCACACCTACATGCCCATATACATTGTTAAAAAGGTATATTGATATGCTCAACATAAATGTAAAACTTGCAAAGACAGACTACGTTTTTCATGGTTTAACTTTTAAAAAAGGTGTATTCGTCTCTAGACATTGTAAGAAAAAGTTGTCATACACCAGAGTGAGAGAGATTGTTAAAGATTGTTTGAGCAAAATTGGTTTGAATCCAAAGTCATTTGGTGTGCATTCGCTTAGATCCGGCGGAGCAAGCGCCGCTGCAAACCATTCGGTTTCTGACAGAAACTTTAAGAGACACGGCCGTTGGCTTAGTGATTCGTCTAAAGATGGCTATGTCAAAGACAGTTTGAGTGATAGGTTAAGTGTTACGAAGAATCTTGGAATCTAATATTTAATTTTGTTCTTGTGTAAGTTTTTTAAAATCCACATTCAATGCCCGTTCTTTAGTTTTCTGAGTGCCAAGCGCTCTCATTTCTTGAAACTGAAGAAATGCGTGTTGTGTCTTATGATTGAGAGTGATGAGTATAGAATAGCTATTTATGTTCGGTGAAGCGGAACGCAGTGTAGCGACTTGAGAACATAAATGATTTCTATTGGCTGAACGGTTTGGCGGTTATTTGTGTTTGGAGTGAGTGAGTAAGTGTTAGGAACACGTCATTCTGAGGCTTGCCAGCGTGCGAGGAATACACTTAACTCCTAATTTGTAGATTATATTATTTCTGTATGTTTCATAAATTTTGTCAGATTTTGATCGTACAAATTGATATTTTGATTGGCATACCTTTTTATCTCTGCAAAGACCTTTTTTTGAATTTTGGCCTCGATAATTTGGGTCTTTGCTTAGTTTAAGAGTCCTCATAAATCCTAATTAATTGGATGAGGTTTTAATGGTGTCAATCGAATTGTCATACATGTGCAGTTATACTGTTTTGTATTTTCCAGTGACATTCACTAACTCACTCACTGTATGCGTATACATTGTCATGTTCTCATTATTTATGTAACTGTTGTACTATGTTCATTAATAAACACGCGTGCCAAGCGCTCTCATTTCTTGAAACTGAAGAAATGTGTGTTGTGTCTTATGATTGAGAGTGATGAGTATAGAAGGTATGATATCATAACAAACATGGAGAAGATATCAAAGAAATTTGAAAAACATGGGAGATAAAGACTCTCGATACCATGCTCTCGTAACAAACATGGAGGAGATTTCAAAGACATTTTAAAAACATGGAAGAGAAACTTCAGATGGTATGATCTCATAACAAACATGGAGAAGATATCTGTGGATCTACTTTGGGAATCATGTGCGATTATTTCTGGAGTCAAATCTAATGCGACAAACAAGAGTAAATATATGCTTTTTGTTGTTGTTTCGGTTGCTATAGCAACCACAACTCTGGCCAATCAAATGATAGACGCTTTAATTTCACAACATAAAGGTAAAAAAGATTTGGGCTACAAACTCAAAAAATTTCATTAAGATTGGTGCAATATTAAGAAAGTTACAATATCTTTCACCTTATTTATTGGACACCCTGTTCATGTAATGTCACTACGACATCATTATATTATCATTATACAGGGTGTCCAAAAAAAACAGGACCGTAAGAAAGTTGAATAACTCGGTCAATTTTGCATATTTTGCCTTGACATTTCAGAATTATTTAGTTCATTCAATGTGAATTTTGTTGTGAAAGTTTGATAATAATCTACCAATTGAGTCAAAAACTACAGCTCCTTACAAAACATGCCCCAAATGTGCAAATCTCATCTCTATGCACAATTCAATCCGGCGAACAAAGCTGTTGATGATCCTCCTACACACATGTCTTTCTGAATGGACAAGTTTGTTCCAAGAACAATTGCTACTAGGGCTTACATCCTCCTGATGAAGTGTTACAGCATCCATTGCATTCTGAACCATGCACTCGCTGGGTGGCAATGAGGAAACATGGAATCATCAGTCCCTTTTGGGTCGAAGGTGACTTGGGACTTGCTATCAGCATGAACAAGGACCAGTAAGTTCTCACCAAGATTTGGAGGTCACTAAGCACCAGAAAGGACATCCAAGGAGATAATTAACAGTGGTTTCAACAAACCAATAACACCTCAACACTGCAAATGATATGCTGAAATGGTTTAGGCAATGCGTTGGTGGACAGCTCATCAGTTGCAGAACCCAAACCATATGGGCAGCTCATTTGCCTGATCTAAATCCCCCAAATTTTTATCTTTGAGGATTTCTCAAAGCCAATGTGTATACTGACAGGCCCCTAACAATCTTAAGAGGCCAATAACTACCCCAATATTTACCATCCACATCAATGTGTATAGGTTAGGGTCATTAACAACTTTGTTCGCAGGATTCGTTTGTGCATAGAGAGGAAAAGTGCCCACTTTGGGCATGTTTTGTAAAGGACTGTAGTTTTTGACAAAATAAACAGATTATCATCAAACTTTCAGAACAAAATTCTCATTGAATGAACTAAATAATTCCTAAATTTCAAGGCAAAATATGCAAAATTGACCGAGTTATTCAACTTTCTTACGGTCCTGTTTTTTTTTGGACACCCTGTATAAGCCAGACCAAAAATGACATAACGTTTGCCAGATTAACTGTGATGCATTCGAGTTTCTGTTAAATCAATCCAAATATAAATACCTTAGACCATTTTACACACATGGTGTGTTTTTTTAATTCATTCATTCACATCCATTCACAAAAGCCGTTGCCATAATCTATAAAACACAATAATTCACAATGGTCATCAGTAGAAAACTATGGCTGGTTTCGATCCCCATTTCTCAACCATTAATGCCATAGCCGGGATTACCTCATAAGGTGCCAAGTGAAAAAATTGTGAGTTCAGCGCCAATGTAATTTCCCATAAGGTAGAAAATATAAAATTCATGAGCAAAGACATAACACAATCTACCACTTCAGATTTTAGAAATAAATTTGTGAATGTAAACATGTCGATGTTGTAATAAAAAATGATTGATTCTAGTGATAAAACACCTTGTTTAGTGCTCATAATGTACTCAAGAAAAGTTGTTTTGTAATTTACATCAAGATCAAGCCACCTGCAATACTGGTATGTCATTTACAACTTCCCCATCAAAAGATTCGAGGTATACACCTCATTGAAGTGCTGTTTTCGACAATAGGGAGTTTAAGCTTGCAATGTTTTTAACAACCTAAACGTGAACGGAAACTATTTAAGCTATGCATTAGGGCTATTTGTCATACGTATAGGTTAGTGTTTTGATTTTATATGCAAGCTTAAACTCCCTATTGTAAGCCCGACGTAGAGTCTCGCGATAACCATTATAAAATAAATCATACACTACTTTTAATAGTCTGATAACAGTAAACAGCTTGGAATTATGACCTTGTGTGTGATTCAGTGGACCAAAACGGATTAAACTAGTACTCGGGCCAGTGCAAAGTCGTTCTAGGGTCATAATACGTCAAAATACATTTAGATATTGATTATTAAACCATCTTCACTAGAATGAAACAGTTTCAACATATCAATTAGGTGACATGTCCAAATACACCTCTCGTTAAATAAAATTGATTCATTTAGGTTTAAATTACTATTTCAGCTGTCCTTTAACGGTGCACTGGCGGATCCAGAAGCTAATAGGGGGGGGGGGGGCATACTTAAAGTCAGAAAAAATGTGGCAGGTTAAATGATTGGTCATAAAATAGTACGTTAATACGATAGCCGTTAGTTGCATTCGCGAATACTAGCTAAGTAGTTGTTTTCTTGTAAATTGGCTATGACGCTGAGTATATCATTAATAATTATGGTTGGAAACAGGGCACGCCTTAAGCGTCGGACTGCTGGTCATTATCTGGTTACTTTTGATACTGACCAGTTGATTTTTTCACTAGGTATAGGAAAATAACATTGCAACTGGTCAGTAATGCCTTTTTGACCAGCAGCTCTGGAATCCTTAGGGCATACACTGGTTGGAAATGGTTGGAAATTATGCCTACAACTGCTTCCTACTTCCTACTTCTTCTCACTTACCTTAGTTACAATTGTTACGTCATATCAATTGCCTTAGTGATCATTGTCACATTATATCACTTATCTAAGTGACCATTGTTTAATCACGTCTCTTACCCTTGTGGCCATTATTACGTCATATCACTTGCCTTAGTAACCATTATTTTGTCGTATCACTTATCATAGTGACCAGACCAGTTTACATCATTTCTTTTTCACAAACGACTTTTGTTACATCATATCACTTATCTTAGTCACAATATAATTACATCATATCACTTATCTTAGTCACAATATAATTACATCATATCACTTTATAATTATCTCTTTCCTAAATGACTTTTGTTATATCATAACACTTATTTCCGTGACCATTTTAACATCATAGTACTCCGTTAAGGCATAAGTGGCCACTGTAACATCATACCACTTACATAACCGTTCATTCTGATTTTTATTTATCATCGAGGGAAACATTACTAGTCTCCGTGGTTTAAAAAGGTTCCGTGACTCAAATAGGATTATAGGACGGCATTGTACTTACAATATATAGACACTATTGCATCATGACACAGCAAGAAAAGGAATGATCTTAGATCTACAGCAAAACATTCAAACATTTAATAACAAACAAAGTAACTTTGCACAACAATCATGATCCCATTACTCTAGTATTGACAAACTTGCCAACCTAAAATGAAAATTTTTCGGGAGATTTAAAAAAAATTGCGGTACTTTTACGGGAGTTTTTTTCAAAATCCGGTAGTTTTTGCGGGAGTTTTTTGAAAAAAGCGGTAGTTTTTACGGGAGATTTTTTTTAGAAAAACTGTAGTTTTACGGGAGATTTAAAAAAAACGGGAGTTTTTGCGGTAAATTTAAAAAAAAACGGGAGTTTTTACGGGAGATTTTGAAAAACTGGAGTTTTTACGGGAGATTTTTTAAAAAATGTATTCGGTAGATTTCTGAAAAAACTGGAGTTTTTAAGGTAGATTTCTGAAAAAACGGGAGTTTTTACGGTAGATTTCTGAAAAAACGGGAGTTTTTACGGTAGATTTCTGAAAAAAACGGGAGTTTTTACTTTTAGATTTTGAAAAAAACGGGAGATTTTACGCTAGATTTTGAAAGAACGGGAGTTTTTTCGGTAGATTTCTGAAAAAACGGGAGTTCTTACGGTAGGTTTCTAAAAAACGGGTGTTTTTACGGTAGATTTTGAAAAAAACGGGAGTTATTACGGTAGATTTCTGAAAAAAGGGGAGTTTTTATGGTAGATTTTGAAAAAACTGGAGTTTTTACGGTAGATTTATGAAAAAACGAATTGATCAAAGCTAAGTAAAATGTATATGTTGCGTTCACTATATGCTAAGGGCAATCTGCGTGAGGTTCCATTTTTAGGTTCAGTTTTTCGCGCATGAGCATTAAATCCAGCGATTTAATTGGTTGAAATTATTATGACGCATGCGCAGTTAATAAATTAATTAGAACTTATAATCTAAGATAGATGTCACTTACGTTCATTATTTCACAGCAGTCCCATAATGCGCCTTATATATATTATATTTTGTTTAGCGCCATATAAAAACAAAATGTATTCTCCCGACAGAAGTATGACATAATTTGAACTGGCCCCCGTTTGTGGACATTTGGTGTGCAAACTTATACCGAACTGATCGCAGAAAAGCAATTTGAATCATGGGAATGAAGTACTTTTAAGTTATTTATGAAAGTATCGATAGTGAACCATGGGAGCCAATCCTTCTTGGAGTAAAAGAAAGAAGCATGCCTGCAATAATCAAGGTCACAGATTTGTCAAATTCCTTTTAAATACGGTAGATTTCGACAGCAAAAAAACGGAGATTTTACGGGAGTTATACCAAGAATACGGGAGATTTTACGGGAGTTATACCAGAAAACGGGAGATTTTACGGGAGTTATACTAAGAATACGGGAGATTTTACGAGAGTTATACCAGAATACGGGAGATTTTACGGGAATTTCAGCATAATACGGGAGATTTTACGACCATATTTTTTAAAAAAAATTACGGGAGATTTTAGTAGAAATACGGTACGGGAGTTTACGGGAGTTTTTACGGGAGAAAACGGTACGGGAGTTTGGTATTTTTTACGGAAAAACAAAAAAATTACGGGAGATTCCCGTAAAAAAACGGGAGGTTGGCAAGTCTGATTGAGGAATCAATATCACATTCTAAAACTACAAGGACGTGGGACATTCTATTTGCAATGAGGTCAATTCATCTCATTACAAATACAAAACATGAAATTACTTCAAAGAATATATTTTAAGTTAAAAATCTTCTTCGGTGTATAAATATTCCCAAAATTTAAATGAATTGAGTGAATTCTGAAAACTTATTTCCACGAACTTCAAGAAAGTAAAGTAAAACTCCATGGTATTTCTTAATATAGCCTTTATTTTAAGATCAAACGTAAACCAAAGGCCACGGATCGTTTAAAGTGATAAAATAGATTTGACAGTTTTGAAATCATTCATCAGTGCGACAAAGTAAGACATAATATATTATCAGTGTTTCAGGTTTCATCTTGGTCAGACGTAATGACAAAGAATTTGCCAGATTGAAATTATAATTGTGATGTACTAGAGCCGACACATAACAATATTTTTGAAAACACCACGTTAGTCTTAAACAATAAAACGAGATTTTGTATAAAAAAAGTTTAGAATTATGATAAGCATCGGATGCGACAAACTAAGACATAATATATCATCAGACTTAGTCTGAACAAGATTTTGAAGTGAAGTGGTACAATAAAACTGGTACAGAGCTACCCTGTAACAAGTCCATGGATGGGTTAATGAAAAGCTGTAAGGCACACTTTGTCACCATGTGGAATGATGTTAGTATGTTCTGTAGGCTTGGAATTGATGTTGATGGTGTGGAAGTGAAAGAAGAGTGTGAAACATCACCACCCTTTGTCATTAATTATGCAATGAAACAAGTAGAAATTATGCCATTTGTCATGTCTGGTGGCCAAAAGACAGAATTCTATAATGGATAAATTCTCAACTGCTCTGCAATGGGATACCCTGAACCCACTTACATTTGGGAGGAATTGAACATTGAGACAGCTGAATCAATGGGACAAGTAAGACCTGAAGCTTCTCCTCCCTTAAATGGTATGCCAGGAGAGAAAATATTCCTATGTAAGGCGAAGAACTCGTTTGGAGAAGAGGTCAAAGACACCCCCAGAATAACTGTACTGAAAGGAACAGGAACGGGTGAGGTGGGGGATAATGCTGGGATGCACGTTACCGTCTCTCTTGCAGTCATCTTAATGACATCACTCATCAGCCTTAGTTTTGCCACAACCCATTAGCAAACTACACATGGATACTTTACCTATGCCGCAACTGTCCCATGCCCAAATAAGGGACTATGTCACTTGTTGTGGATGGTGGTAACTCATGTGAGGGTAACCATATTTAATTCTCAGAAATTATTCAATATTTTTTCTGATTACTTTGCTTTTAAGGGAGGTCTATAGTTGCAAGTAAGAAAAATCATGACAAATATGGTATATTTTAAGCAACTGGTCAGGATTGTGAAAATAAGTGTTTTGTCATTCTGATATTCATCTCATCTTTCTGTTTAACAAGCAACATGCTTGGATGAACTGATGGAGCCCCATTGCAGGCTGTACCTCCTTATGATACTCATAATTAGTTTATTTATGTAAATGTGTTGCAACCCAGGGTGTTGGGTAGCATGGTGCTGGGTTACCCAGCTAGCTATCAAGTATCTGGATTTTTAATGGTCTAGCTTGATAATAGATTGTAAAATATATGGGAATGGGGGACTTTTTAAACACTGATCTATATTCACACTCACTTTACACAATCATTCAACACAACAGAGAATGTAATGGGAAATTATATAAAATGAATATAATTCAACTGACTCTATTTCAAGATATACATGTGCTTGATTAAACAAGTCTACATAGATTTACTTTACGTTATGCAAAAAAAAACAAAAAGTAAATTTATTTTCAGTCAAATTCACATATGAAATTCACTTTATCCAGGAAATTCAATGTAAACTATAACGTAACTTGATACTAAAATGACCTATCTAATTAGTTCAATCCAAGCAAAAAAGGGGGGGTTGTATTGTCACCATAAAAACAATAAAAGATAAATTCTTAGAAGGGTTTTGTCAGGAAATTGTTGTTTTCTCAGTCGAAATAAATAGGAATTAAAGAGACTGACTTGAAATGAATGGAGCGCTCAAAAGTCGGTTATTGCTGTGAAGCTGTTTTACAACTAAAAATTGTAACTAGTCCATGCCTGATGATACTAACCAGGTGCATCACAGACCCCTCGGAGTATTAGCAAATATGATTGTGATTATTGCCTTAGAAAAACTCCAAACCAACTCAACTCGAATATTCTGTATTACTGGTACAGTTAAATATGCAACAATTGTTCAAATCAAGACTATGCTGTGTGTGCGTGTGGGGGGGTATATCTTATTTGTGACCAAGAGCCCCATAGACTAACATCGTAGCAGCAAATTAATTGCCATAGCTTGTTAGGGACAAATCAAAACCGACCTTGGGGATATATGCAATACATTATGCAGTTACAATACATATAAAAGGGAAACAAATATCTGGTAGTTCTTCCAAGTTTTCAATTCAAAATGTAGATTTAACTATGAATATTCTAGTGACTCTCTAGACTCCTTTTTGTCCGATAGGCAAATTTTGAAGTCATCACAATGCTGGGGGTGCTCTTGTAAATTACATGTATGGGAGCTTGGATCTTCAGTCTCCGTTTCATCCTTCCTCCTCTCAGACTAAGTCTGTGAACTTTCTATTTTCTATGGACCGTCATCTTAAAAATAGAGCAAATGCCAGGTTATGGAACACAAAAAAGAATTAGTAATCTAGTTGAAAGCCCATGGTCATATCAATGACAAGTTTTGGATTAACAGACAAAATATTAGAATAAATATATCTGATATGCCAATTATTATCATTTCTTTATTATCACATATGTTCCTTCTATTACACGTACATTATAGCATTAAATTAACTGTGAATTGAGATCTGTAAGGCCAATGTGACAACAAACATTCGAGTTGACAACATACATTATCTATTTTTCGTAAAAGAATCCAAAGTAAAAAGCGGTTTTGCATTAATTCTGTGTGTATATTTTTATACTTATCTTAAGTTGTGTTAGTCGTAGTTTGGCTGTTATTTGCATAACAAAACAAAAATTAGAGAGCATTTTGCGAAATTTAGTCAAGATTTAGAGATCCCTGACGTACTGGGTAGATCTATAACAAGATATTGAAGTTGCTGGGGATCATTTTAAGTAGATATGCATATTTGCAACTTAATTACAAATCGAATGCAAAAACTACCTGATGATGAACTGACACAATATTGATCAAATCAATGCTAGTTCTTACCTCGCTTCCTCATTCTAGAAAATGGCGATCTAAAATGGCGGAAATGACACCGTACATCAAAAGTGTACTACGGTATATTTTGTCACTGTCACGTGACTGTACCTTGTCGATGGTTAGGCGTGTTCAAGTAAAAGTATATAATTTATGATCCATGGCTAGATAACAACCTCAAGTTTCATTTGATATGCAAATTATAATTTAATATCAAAAATTAAAAAAGTTAAAGCATTTTGAAAAAGTGGCGTTTTTTGGCCCACGCTGTATATATAAAATACACTTTTATCAAAAGTTTGTTGAGTTTTAACTTTTACATTCAACCATCTTATTCAATAAGCTGGTACAAAAACAATATGAATGCGATACCTATCATCTTGCCCATCGTAGTGTTATCGTTTGTAGTTTGTATCCTATGGAGATCAAGATCCTTTAAATGTTACTCCAACGTTTATAATATTATGCAACATAACTGATGTATTTGAATTCTTGAAGCACGTGAAGCAACAAAAACATAATTTTAGTCAACCATAACCGACGAAGCAGTGGTTTAAATAGGGATGAGCGACAAGGACAGACGAATAACTGAAATGAATGTATGCATTCAAACACGTTAAATATACTTCATGATCAGAACATTTCAGACTAAACTAACCTATGTCATATCATCGCCCAATCAACATACACATTTTCTGTGTGGTGATAAAGATATCGCGGATCGCATAAAAAACAAGTTAGATTATTCAAAATCATATTCGTGAAATTTTCTTACATGAGATGAATTTTTATGAGGATTCGTAGAATATGAAGTACCACGCTAGCTTGCAAAATTATGATGTCTGAAATACTTTACGACCATTCGCGATGTAAAGTTACCAACAATTCGCATTCTGATACTCATATAGCATCTCTCTGTTGCATCGCAGAAGGATAGAGATGGAGAGGGCGTGGCTTGCCACGATGAACAATTCGACGTTTAAACTAATAAAAGTTGTAGAACTATTCAAACTGACAATAAAACAATATGAAAAGTAATACAATATAACATGACCTAGCCGTAGGATCATTTGATTTAAACGTTAATTATTCATTCGTGATGTAACTTGACCCAGACCTACAGTATTATGTGTAGTCTAGCTCCAAGCCCTTTTGTTGTATAGATAAGGGTCCATGAAAGCAAGACTATATTATGTGCGAGATGTTCAGTTCTTATCCAGACAGGATGACCCCATTAAAAAAACTGGCCATAAAAATTGTTGTATTTTTGTGATAATAAAATCTATGTAACCCCTTTTGATCCAATTCACCGATAACACGTAGTTCGCGTTTGCGGAAAAAGTGTATTGAGTTCAAAAACCGATTCATTGAGGTCAAAATTCACCTCGAAAAAAACTTATTCAAAATCCGTTTCATGCATAAGGAAAGCCCTTATAAAATTGTGCCAATTTAATATTTCACCTATTAATCATGTTCAATGCAAAGCTCTTTACATATGTTCATAGGTCTGTGTGGAATCTTCTGCGGACCATGTCTGTTATGCATGGTTAGCAAGCGTATCGGGGAGAACATGTGTGTTGGATGCTGCGTCCCTGGTGGCATCATTGCCCTTAGAGTACGACTCAGGTCTCTCTTGGGATCCAGGTAAGACTATTGTCTTGTTGGCCATACCTAGGCCTGTAGCCAGGATTTTTTTAAAAAACTGAGCCCCTCTCGGGAAAAGCTGGAAAGGGGTCTGATAACATAACTTACTCCTTACTACTTGTAAATGACTTGAAACAGTCTGGTACAAACACCTGCTGAAACTTATGGGAATACTTAAACACCTGAAAATATGTATTTGAACACCTCAAACTGATTGCAATATTTAGAATAACGAATAACACTTAATTTGATTTTAAAACAATGTTTTACATGAGGCTAAATTGTGAAATAAAAACAAAGTGTGTACTTTATATCTTGAAGTAGCTATAAACGCCTTCAGCTACCCAGAGTAAAATGATATACAGGTCGAATTTACCTACAACTTACTGTATTTAAAGGAAATACGATAAATAATTCATGATGCTTCAGTACTCCTCGAACTGTTTGTTTGGTGTTTTTAATATTAAGGATACTGCCATCTGATGTTGTTTACAATACAGCTTTTCTTTTTATTTTATTATATTTTTTTATTCCTTTTTTATTCATAGAAAAACATTTGAAAGAAAAACATTTGAAAGCAGTTACATTAACAATTATAGAACACGCAAAACAGTATTATCTTTGTACACGTGTATTAAATTAATATCGCGAGTGCTAAGTATATTACAGGTGAAGCTCTCTTTTAAGGTGGCAAAATTAAACTATTGGAAGGGGGGGGGGTTGATTAATGTTCCTTTCAAGAATTCGAGTATTATTTAAGTATGTGTTGTCATTTTCAAGTTACTTCCGTTTTGTCTTAGTTTTTTGGCAACTCCTCGTGTAGTTTCAAATGTTCAATGTACCAATGTCACGCCTGACCATCGACAAGGTACAGTCACGTGACAGTGACAAAATATACCGTAATGATACTGTACATCACGGCGTAACAGTGTAATTGTTCATTTTACCGACAAAATGCAAAGATTTACGCCATAAATATGCGCAATGCTCCTCCAAGTAATTGCAAACGTTTTAATATTCGTGGAATCTTCTTAAAAACTTCAAGTTTTGTTCAGATTAGTGTGCGCTTCAATACAATTCTATATCCAAAAAGGTTGTGTCACGATATATAGAATTAAAATCACCAGAAAGTAGACATTTCAAACCCTACCCGTTTTCTTCTTTGTCGCGCTTTTCGGCCCTGCGCTCTCGTTGTCGCACCGTCTTTCTAGACTCTCTCACAATGCCCATTGTCATATTCAACTGATAAACACAGACGGGAAGATATTAAGGATTGTTAAATGCATTATTTGTTATTTATTTTAACTCGAATATTTAGTTTTATTTATTTAAAGCAATGAATAATAAAGGAGAACATATAATACGCTAACGGCGTAACGTCTTATTTTGTAAAGGCTTCACTTGGGGTTGCGGTGATAAAACGATGTCTATCTCGTATACTGGTTCAAATTAAATGAAATTAATTGTATGTAGTAAGGGGTATATTTAAAAGAACATGCTGAAACATTGGAACGTTTTGAATGTTTATCCCTTAATTAGAAATATTTGAACTCAAAAAATGAAACGTAATTTTGTGAATTTTTCACATGGCTTCACTTCATATTTCTTTCAATTTATACTTCTTACAGACTGAATTCTAATCGAAATGATATAGTTTTTTGATAAAAATATAGAATATGATATGCCTTTCAGGAATCAAAAAAGAATAATTCACCTTTCAAACGATTTAATGTTTAATTGATCAAAATATATATCTTGTTGGTACGAAATTCTGCCTGTCGACACTTTTTTTGCATAAATATAAGCGTTAAGTTAGCATTGTTATATTATGACGTCATCACACAGAATCTGTTTGTCTTTTCTAAAATAGTGAATTTAAATATTGCGAAAATTTGAGAAAGATCGGTTGGGAAATGAAAAAGTTATCTTCCTTTTTCGTTTAAAATTAAAATCACTTTTCTTCAAAATGTTACAGTCGACACCCGGTTTTAGCATAGAAAGTCGCATAATACGGCTTGCGTGATTCTCATTTAAAAAGTCCCAAATCAATTATTTGTAATTCTGATAGGCAAAATATTTCATGGACATACGTGTTCAACTGATGACGAAAAATTGTAGAAAAATATGATGTTGCTGTCGAGATATTGCGGTTTTAAAAGTAAGTACGCATTAAAAATGCAGTAAAATGCCGCGATGTACAGTATCTGACGTCGTATCAGTACACTTTTGATGTACAATGTCATTTCCGCCATTTTAGATCGCCATTTTCTAGAATGAGGAAGCAAGGAAAGAACTAGCATTGATTTGATCAATATTGTATCAGTTCATCATCAGGTAGTTGTTGTATTCGATTTATAATTAAGTCGCAAATATGCATATCTACTTCAAATGATCCTCAGCAACTTCAATATCTTGTTATAGATCTACCCAGTACGTCAGGGATCTCTAAATCTTGACTGAATTTCGCAAAATTCTCTCTAATTTTTGTTTTGCTATGCAAATAACAGCCAAACTACGACTAACACAACTTAAGATAAGTATAAAAATATACATCCAGAGTTAATGCAAAATGCTTTTTACTTTGGATGCTACTACGAAAAATAGATAATGTATGTTGTCAACTTGAATGTATGTTGTCACATTGGCCTTACAGATCTCGATTCACAGTTAATTTTACAGTGAATGAAATGCTATGATGCACGTGTAACAGAAGGAACATATTTGATAATAAAGTAATAATAACAATAATAGGCATATCAGATATATTTACTCTTAGACTAATGTTTTCTCCGTTAATCCATGAAATTGTCATTGATATGATTAAATTTCAATGTTACTAATTCTTTTTTTGTGTTCCATAACCTGGCTTTTGAACTTCTGCACTTTCCAGATATACAGAGTGTCCCAAAGTACCCCCCCCCCCAGGCAGACATATACCAGTTTCTCCATATTATTCCATAGTTAGCATGATATTCATAGGATAACATGTGAACATTAAAACGGTATTTTTGTAATCAGTGGTAAAATATGATATTTTTGACAAATTTTCACTTAACCATAACATACGGTTTTTTAGCCATGACATACGACGTCGTATGCGATGGTTTATGGATTTTTGCTACTTCAGACTCAAAACGAGGCTAAGTGTCAACATCGCCGGATCGTTTGGAAATTCGAATTAAATAACTTAATTTCCGACGATTCTGATGATGACTTTAACTATGGAATAAAAAGAACATCCTATGATTTACTCGTGATATGATTTTAATCCACTCATGGATATTGATATCTGCACTCTCTCGCTACGCTCGCTCGTGCAGATATCATATCCATTCGTGGATAAAAATCATATCACTCATAAATCATAGGATATCCTCTATGTATGTGTCATATATCATTTTTAAGCCATTTTTGCCAAATATGATGGTTCAAATGGTAAAAAGTAACAGGCATTTCAAAAATTAGCGTTTTGCCAAAAACATTCATTTCAGTATCCCGGAAACAGCCCTGACCTGAATGTGACAGAAAATGTGGATGCTATTCTGGAAGATAGGATGGATATTGAGTTCTAAAAAGATGACGTTTAGGGTATATATTCCAAGGAAACTCTTCTTATGCCTTAAAAAGGTTTTATGAGGATTACAAAACGCCATATCCCTATTTGAAGCCTGTTTAAGGTCATATATGGAAAGTATTGCTGCTGTTAACATGGCGGCTAAGGAGACACACCGACTATTGTTTTGGTGTAAAACTGACTTTAAATTTGGCCAAACACTAACTTTTTAAATTCCTGTAACTTTTTCCCATTTGTGAGTTGAACCATGATACTCGGCAAATTAATGTAACTTTGAATGAGCTTTAAAATGATTTATGACACATACTATGGAGACATTGTTATATGTCTGCCTAGGGGGCCCATACTTTCGGGACACCCTGTAGCATGAATTTTGAAAGTCATCTTGGATTAGCTAGTATAGATCTCTCCATGAACTCCTTAAGATTATTAAAAATTCATATAAGTGCAACTAAACATAACGAAACGTACCGACGCCGAGTGGTCAAAGAGGTCGGAAGATAACACGCCACGGTCACATATTAATCACCATATTAACACTTTCATAAAATAAAATAGCATTCAACGAAAAAATCACTTTTACCTGTTTATCTGTACGGGAATAAAGGAGCATTTTCGTTGAACATTACTTGTTACGCATAAAAGCATTTTGAAATTAAATCATATTGCAATGTTTGATGTATAACTCGAATGTATTTCAATTACAGGGACAACATACACTGTGAGTTGACAACTTACATGTCTGATTTTTTAAATTATACCAAATGCATGAATACTTATTAAATCTTCACCCGTCTTAAACTGTGTAGTTTAGAGAAACACATTCTCATAAAAATATTCGACACTCTGAGACGTCAGGGGAGAAAATTATCAAAGGAAATGTGTAAAAAACAACATTTTTCCAACCGAACATTAGTATGGGTAGACTTACAACGAAAAAAATCGAGCACTGCTCCAAGATCTTTTAACGTAATTAGAAAAATAAATGTCTTTGAAATCGAATACACGCGAAATCAAACATGAAATCCTTTATGTATTCCTCAAATTTATTTTTGAAAACCTGCATCAAACCTACATCGTAGTCTTTGCTCAAAATCAGATAATAGTGACATCGTACATCAAAAGTATACTACGGTATATTTTGTCACTGTCACGTGACTGTACCTTGTCGATGGTTAGGCGTGAACACTGGCAAGCAAATATTACCCTCAAATTATATAATATATGATCAGAAATATCAAGTTGGCGATTGAATCTTAAATCTATATGTAGGTCAATCTGTAAATTTCAAATGAATCAGAAATGCTTCTCACAAGAATGTAAACGCAACTCACTCAATGCTCATGAGGGTTTAATTAGAAACAAAATTCTGAAAGTTCAAATCAGTCTGCTATATAAATACGTACAGCCACATTTGAGACAAGGCGTGACCAGTCAGATTGAAATCAAAGTCGTAATCAAATTAAGGTGGAACTGGAGTTAATAAATTAGCAAAAAAATTACTGGAAAAAGTACCATGATATTTCAAGCTGTTTTTCTTGGCGACGAATGTACTCCATGAGTTAATACATATATCAAAACGAGCACCATATGTAAACGTGTATTACGGAACCATACATTTTGAGTGTTATGGTCCCTAGAGACAGCATTATACCATAAAGTGAGAGTGATTCTGGTAAACTTCAAAGAATACTTCTAGCACGGGAACACATTTGAAAAATTTGAAAATTTCGGTAAATCATCTTTCCTTACCAGGGAACACCAAACAACTGTGAAAATGTGCATTAGTTATGTTGATATTGAGATAGGAGGCTCAAACCATGCGCATGCGCCAAAAGCAAGAGACGTGGACATTTTAGTGAAACTTTTTTGTACAATTTCTAGTGGACTAGTAATATATTTTAGTATTTGAAGGCTCGAGAAAGTGTATAAGCTACTTATTGTGATACCTAAACGGATTATGGCGTCAAATATGGATATTTCATCGAATAATCCGTTCTTGAAACGGTCACGCCCTGATGACGAGGACATCCAAGATGGCGACCAGGTAAATAAACGACTAAAGCAGACTTCTGGTAGCTCTACTGTCAATGATCCATCGCAAACAGTAACATTAAATACGATTTTTAACATGTTAAACCGTGTTTTGGACTCTGGATAAACAGGATGATCGCATTAGGGCAATTGCTACTGACGTGGTGTCTACTTCAGAAATATCAATCCGAAACGAACTTGGGCGGAATATTTCAAGGGTATCGAATGAAGTGAACGAACGTATGGATAAAATTGAACAACAGGTCACGTCGTCCCTCTCTCGATTGGACCAAATCAAAACCGAAATCCCCAAGTCTACAACAGGAGTGCTTCAATAACCCCTCAACAAAAACCTGAATTAGCGATCTTTAATCTTCCCGAGTCAACTAGCGTGAACGATCTTTTATCCAATGGCCTTGGTTTTAAAACGGATGAGTTACAAATAGGCCCTGCAAGGCGCGTAGGAAGCGTTCGAGTTGGAGCAACGAGACCTAGAGTCACCATACTACCAGTAAAAAACAACAATGACCTCCACAAAATTTTAAAGCAGAAGCGTGTGTTAAAAAACACTGCCAAGTTTAACTCAGTGTATATCAATGTTGCAAAATCTCCTGAAACTCTGAGTCAGGAGCGCTTAATGCGCAGAATGATTAATCAGTCTGTGCAATCTCACGTTAAATCACTACAGGGAAATGAAACTCAACATGTCTTGAATTCGGCACAGCAGAATACAACAACACCGAGTGTGATTGAGATCCCGAGTCAACAACGCTCTTCGCCAACCCCAGCATCGTTACGTATGAATGCTTCTCAAGAACCCAAGCCCAATTCTAGATCCAAACCCAATCCCAAGGCCACACAACCCAACCGTAAAGGGGCCTCAAAAAGCTCCCCGTTAATGCCAATAATAGTCAACAATAGGATAAATTGGTCACAGGCTTTTGGAACGTAAGAGGTCTCCCCAATATATGTAATGATAAGTATAATAGGGATGTTTCAGCTATTCGGAATCTGAAAGTAAGCTTTACAGGGAAAGTGAAAGTCAGATTTCAGGGGTCATGTCATAAGTTCAGTTGCATTAAACGTTTATTATAACTGATAAATCAATAGTTTCAAAGCTAAATGTGCTTTTTAGAGAATATAGCAACATTAAAATAATTTCAAGATGCTTTTATTTGTTATTCGCTGTGGATTACATTTATTAGAAATATGACACAAAGTATATTCTCTTGTACTGAATATTACATGTATTGATAGAACAGTTGATTGAGCAGTTTAAGTAGTCTCAGAGATTAACCCTCCTTATACTAAGACCGGCAATTCTGAGAGCTTTGCCAGATGTTGTCGTGGGTGGCGAAAAAGTGTACCTATAACCTTAAAAACCTTGATGTGACCAATCACATGCTCTACATAACTCCGCCTACTCCCAATTTTTCTGTTTAGCCGCTTACATTTTTTACGTAAATTTAGGGGTTTTCTGCGTATTTCAAAACTTTTATACTTCCTAAGGAGTGGGTATCGACATGGATATATTTTATCAGCTAAAAGTCTACAGTCTTCAGGGAATACTAAAGGTCCCCCGGGCCCAATATTTGCCATATAGCCAAATGTTTGTGCATCATTCATATGACCTAAAAAGCCACTATGGACATAATGAAGGTCATTGTTATTATCTACTATTACTTGGGTATGCATACAATGGTATCCTCTATTTCCAGAGTAAAAAAGTGCTTGGGGTTCATTTTCTGGCCTGTTAATTTCATGGGATGTTCCATCAATAGAGCCAATTGCAAATGGGAGATCATTCCAATTATTCCTCATTGCATTCCATTCTTCAAGAGATGGCCAGCGTACATTGGATGCATATAGTTCCCATAATATTGGCCAAACGTCATTAATGACTCGTGACACAGTTGTAATGTTAACACCGAACATCAAGGAGAGTAGAGGATAACAAGGGTACGATCTCAGCCAGATCAATGTGAGGAGTAGTCTATTGTGAGGTGACATGTTATGTCGCATATCAAAAGTTCTAGGCAGAAAATTACCAACCATCTCATGAAACGTATTAACTGTTTCACCAACAGTTTCAAAAGACTCATATGGGTGTTTTTCAAATAATCCAAGGACATCTCATCCTTGCCAATTGTTGTTATCTGCGCCCAATCTGTTACGAAAATTTAACAACGGATCTGGAGGAGGCGCCAATAAAAACAATAGGGTTGGAATTATCTCACTTTGAAGGCCTTCTGGTGGTGGTGCAGCTAGAAACATAAGCAATGCAACTAGTGCATGCTTCTCTCTTAGGTTCAAAGTGCGCATTCTACTGAAAATACAATCATAAAAATACTTCACTATTTTTGACATTCTCCCCGAACAAATTGCCTAAACAACTCAGGATCTATTTCAAAAGCTTCAATGGGTATATAGTATGAGAGTAGACTATATATAGTATTTGTATGTATACAATACATTCATTGAAGTATTTAATACTATTCATATAAATCAAACACTTATTGCCTTCTTCATTGATGTTCACTCTTCACAGGAATTGACTGTAAAATGTCGGAACAGAAAGGTATGTATTCATTATTGTTTATGATTCTCTTGATAATAATTGAGTCTAATATTAGGTATTGAGTTATCTTCATCTGAGTTTGAGAGTAACTAGTGGAGTGTACACACGGATAAAATTCTGAAATAAATTTTGGAAATAAATTGTTGTTTCTTTCTAAACCCTTATGACATGACCCCTGAAATCTGACTTTCACTTTCCCTGTAAAGCTCACTTTCAGATTCCGAATAGCTGAAACATCCCTATTACACTGTGTGAAATGATTAAATGTAAAAGGTTTGATATACTAGGCATTGCCGAAACTCATCTCATAGGTAGTGACGTAGTTACAGTAGACAACATGGTTTGGTTTGGAAACAATAGATCTAAACATGTGAGAGTTCGTTTTGGCTCTGGAGGTGTAGGATTCCTTGTCAGTAGGTCCCTTTTAAAAACGTACGATGTTAGCGTATTAAGGTCTCATGGAAGTTAACAGGAAGTGACAAAACAAAAAATGACAAAGCCATGCTGGATTTTGAAAATTTTTTGAACCAAGATAACAGAGTTCTGTTTGGACCTCCAGTCAGTTTAACTAGTTCCACATATCATTTACATGACCAGGAACACAGTTGAAATGGTCAGAATGACCATAAACATGATAGAATAACCTTTTCAGCCCTCTGAAAATGTGACTAAAAAATAGCTAAGAGTAGGTGCTCAGGAAAGGTCACTGAACAGAATATTTTGACCTTTTCAGAAAATGTGCCCAATATATTGCTCTAAATGATACAATTCAAAAAAATTTGATATCATTCTTAGAAAAAGAAAAAATTGAAAAAAACTGAATTGAAAATCGATCTATTTTCCTTTTTACTACAGCCATTATTGTTTCAGACAATTTTTGAAAATTTCAAAGATTGTGTCATTTAGAACAATATATTGGACACATATTCTGAAAAAATCAAAAGATTCTGTTCATTGACCTTTCCTGAGCACCTACTTTTAGCTATTTTTCAGTCACATTTTCAGAGGGCTAAAAAGGTTATTTTATCATGTTTATGGTCATTCTGACCATTTCAATTGTGTTCCTGGTCATGTAAATGATATTTGGAACTAGTTAAACTGACTGGAGGTCCAAACAGAACTCTGTTATCTTGGTTCAAAAAATTTTCAAAATCCAGCATGGCTTTGTCATTTTTTGTTTTGTCATTTCCTGTTAACTTCCATGAGACCTTAAATGACGATACTGAAGGTATATTGTGGCTTAAATTCTGTGCTAAATCAGTTAACTTGTCATTATTCAGTGCCAGTGTGGCTTATCTGCCACCCGAAGGGTGTGTGAGAAGTAACCCAGATGTATTTTTTGACAATCTTTTGACACATATTTATTTGTACCAAGATATAGGTGAATACTTTATATGTACCGATTGTAACGCCAGAACTGGCGATGGTGAAGATTTTATTGCAGGAGTTGACAATCTATGTGATAGAAATGTATTAGATTTTAAACAAAATGCTTATGGTGCCAAATTGCTTGAATTTTTACAATATGTAAACTGTTGTATCCTTAATGGTAGAAATCATGAACACAACGACTTTACATTTGTTTCAACTCAGGGTCACTCTGTCGTTTACTATTGTATTGTACCCCATATGTCACTGCCTTTGTTTACTAAGTTCAATGTTTTTACCATGTCAAGCTTATGTAATTCAATGGGTATTGTACCTGACATCCAATTGCCTGACCACTCACTTTTGTATTGGGAGTTTAGAATAAGAAATAATGTGGCAAATTGTCAAGGAGTTCAGCTTAGCTCAATTGACCAATCAGTGAGCTATTCAAACTCAAGCAGTGCATTTCACAAACACGATACGCGGAATATACCATGTTAATATTTCTGTTCATTTTTCGGGAAAGGATAACGTTACATTTGAGGATAACAATTGTGAATATTTAACATGTCCTGTCTTAATGAACCGCCTTCACAAGTATAACCTTACAGTCCAGGCATGAATGATTTCACTCGTGATATATAGCATGCGTGCTTTTTGATGATTTTCGGGTGGGGTTGTACATTCCCTGTGTATTCCTCACCCCGAGGTCCCCACTTATGTAAAGCGGTCAGATTTGAGCAAGATACGTCTACTGCATGTAGTACACAATCAATGTCTTTTTGTGAACGGCTACGGACGTTTTTCGCATTGTGTCCGGCATGTTCGATCATGGTCGTTAATACTCACTGGGAAAATATTTTTAACTGGTAACTTTAATTATAAAAAAATATAGAATAATAATATAAATTGAACAAAGGTTTCAATGGCTTGTTTGACATGTTTGATGGTATTTGTTTTGACGGAATGGAAAAACGAAACAAGGTAATGCTTTCAATAGAAATACATGAATGAATGAATGTTCATGCACGGACTTTAAGGGTCCATGGTTCATGTAATAAGGGTAAACATGAATTATAGAAATTCCAAATAGAATACTGTATTTTACTGTTGCCTTTTAATATTAAACCCTGCCGGTCAATAAGCTTACTTAGGTTATAGATAATGAAAACTCATACAGACTGCTAATATATCAATATCACCGAGTAGATTAAAATGATATTCTGAAAAAATCATAGGATGTTCTTATTATCCTACACTTACAAGGAGTGTACTAAATGTATAATATCATTGCAAAATGAATTCCATGCCAAATAGAGTCAATTTGGCGGGAAATCAACAAGCGGAGTATATCGTCACAATATCCTCCGCATATTGGGTTTTCCGGAGCATATCGTCACGATATCCTCCGCCCGGAGTATATCGTCACGATATCCTCCGGATATTCATTTTGCCAATAAATATCAAATTTATTTTTTAATGTTATTATACATTTAGTACACTAAGTGTAGGAGACAATAATTTATCATTTATTTATTTTTTATATTTATTTTATATTTTTATAATATAAAATCTTATTGCAATAAGAGGCAACCTGATATTGATATTAGAAAATGAAAGCTTCTCTTCAAGGATTCTAATGTTTGCATTTTTCCGGTGATTCTATTATATCATAAGAAGCATGGAGAAAATGCCACACAAATATTTAACAGCATGGAAGTTAGAGACTTTGGAAAATACACTTTTTGAAAAAGATAGAAACAGTAAAAATGTATACAGCAATAAGGATTAAAATATGCATCTTTCCTAAGAATCATGCAAAACCTCAATGTGTAGCTTCATTATAATTGCGAAAATGATTTTTAGATGATTGCTGATATCGGATTCTGTTGGTTTTAATAAGATATCAAATAAAAAATTCTGGATACCGTTTAATTTATAATTCACCTGTTCGTTTTTGCAATTTAGAACTGAAATATCTGTGGTTATTTTAGTATAGGATTTTTTTAAATTTCGGATTCTGCTGTTAAGCAGATTGATTATTTAACGGATTTATAATTATTTTATAATTATAAATCCAAAAATAGATCTAAATCCACCAAAATATGCCAAAATTTAGTATTAAGTAATGCTAAATCATACACAACAGCGAATGATCAAAACACTCGCGCGATTGGAACATTATTTAAAATATGTTCAAATTGCAATAATGCACAAAACAGTTCAAATTGTTAACCTAAAGCATTACAGAAATAAAAAAGTACAAAGGATTGTAGAAGTGGTATTTAATCTTGGTGGTTAATTTTCCGAATGGTCGAATTTTTATCATTTTTGATTCCTAATTATAATTTTCCTAATGACAAGAAACCTCCCGCTGGATAACATTATGAGAATAATGTTTCCGACATTTAATTTTCCGAACCTAGCAAAAATTAGGTAATAAGCAAATGAAATGATTAGGTAAAATTACCGTGGAAAACATTATATTTAGAAGGGATGTGATGTAATTGAGGTATCTAAATATATTTACAATTATTGCAAAATATATTATTCGGACATTTTTTGACGTTACCGGGTTGTGTGCCGGTGGTGTTGGAACCAACAAGTTTTTACAATGGAGTTTTTTGACAGAACTGTCTAGGAGTGAGATTTAAATATCCTCTCGCCGTCCATTTGAGAAAAGAATCGCACATAGTAAAGTCATAGTAATAGACCTGGTGTAAAAGGGTAGGTGGTCCTACTCTCTATTGATTTATATGGTGACCTAATTACAATTATTTTCCTTATTATTTATACACAGTCAGGGCCAGAAAGGGCCGTAAGGAAAGGGGACCATAATCCCCAGGGGACCATAATTTCTTTTAAACGGTCATAGAAAACTATACCTTACGTTTAAAGAACTTAGTCAACAAATTATGTACCAACTGATATACATAATAATAATTCCAGTATGAATGGGCATTCATGATTCCATTAATTGTCGACTGGGTCAGTACCTGTACTTATATAAAATAATGGCAATTATTAAAATATGTTCATAATAAATATGAATATCATCGTTCAAACCATTTCGCTAAATATCGGAATAGGGATTAGTATATATATAGATATCGTAAGGGGTGTTTTACTGCAACAAAACATAGGGTTTACCTTCTCATACGGCTGTGGCAGTTCAAACCTTTTTGACAGCGCCGCAGGTTTCATAACGTGTCTACATATAAGATCGATTTTGGGTTCTAGTTGTCAAGCGCCGTCTGCTCATCCTTTGCTAGTGGGATTGTGGTGAGAATCTAAATAAGATAGTTTATCCATATTGGCAATGTTTGTTCGAATAACTTGCTATAGCAATATATTAACAGTTAATGATACGACGTCAGATACTGTACATCACGGCGTAACATTGTAATTGTTCATTTTACCGACAAAATGCAAAGATTTACGCGATAAATATGAGCAATGCTCCTCCAAGTAATTGCAAAAGTTTTAATATTCGTGGAATCTTCTTAAAAACTTCAAGTTTTGTTCAGATTAATGTGCGCTTCAATATAATTCTATATTCACAAATGTTTTGTCACGATATACAGAATTAGAATCACCAGAAAGTAGACATTTCAAACTCTACCCGTTTTCTTCTTTGTCGCGCTTTTCGGCCCTGCACTCTCTTTGTCGCACCGTCTTTCTAGACTTTTTCACAGTGCCCCTCGTCATATTCAACTGATATACACAGACGGGAAGATATTAAAGATTGTTAAATGCATTATTTGTAATTTATTTTAACTCGAATATTTAGTTTTATTTATTTAAAGCAATGAATAATAAAGGAAAACATATAATACGCTAACGGCGCAACGTCTTATTTTGTAAAGGCTTCACTTGGGGTTGCGGTGATAAAATGATGTCTATCTCAATATATACTGGTTCAAATTAAATGAAATTAATTGTATGTAGTAAGGGGTATATTTAAAAGAATATGCTGAAACATTGGAAAGTTTTGAATGTTATTCCATTAATTAGAAATATTTGAACTCAAAAAATGAAACGTAATTTTGTGAATTTTTCACATGGCTTCACTTCATATTTCTTTCAATTTATACTTCTTACAGACTGAATTTTAATCGAAATGATATATTTTTTTGATGAAAATATAGAATATGATATGCCTTTCAGGAATCAAAAAATAATAATTCACCTCTCATACAATTTAATGTTTAATTGATCAAAATATATATCTTGTTGGTACGAACTTCTGCCTGTCCACACTTTTTTTGCATAAATATAAGCGTTAAGTTAGCATTGTTATATTATGACGTCATCACACAGAATCTGTTTGTATTTTTCAAAATGGTGAATTTAAATATTGTGAAAATTTGAGAAAGATCCGTTAAGAAATGAAAAAGTTATCTTCATTTTTCGTTTAAAATTAAAATCATTTTTCTTCAAAATGTTACAGTCCACAACCGGTTTTAGCATAGAAAGTCACATAATACGGCTTGCGTGATTCTCTTTTAAAAAGTCCCAAATCAGTTATTTGGAATGCTGATAGGCACAATATATCATGGACATACGTGTTCAACTGATGACGAAAAATTGTAGAAAAATATGATTTTGCTGTCAATATCGCGGTTTTAAAAGTAAGTACGCATGTAAAAATGCAGTAAAATGCCGCGATGTACAGTATCTGACGTCGTATCTAATACATTGATATCGTCATAGTCAGTTGATAGATATAAAAATATGACTTACCCGTTTACTTTTAGTTAGCTGACTGGTGTCTTTAACATACATTAAATTTTTCAAAGTGCAGTCATAAACATGTGCACTACTCAATGAGTTGGCAAAGTGTCCAACGAATCGAAGAGTGTAAGCTTACTATCCTTACTCGTTTGTTTACTTCGTGGTAGTTTCGAAAGTAGTTCTATTAAAAACCTGTTTGGGGACTTCAATGGTATACTACACAGCGGCACCATCTTAAGATAAAATACTCTAATTTACAGGCATATAATGCTCAGAATAACTGGGAAACATATGAGCATAAACAGTGAACGATTAAATCTTCGGGATTACTTTTGTGGATGGATGACCTTGGTAGTGGTGAATTGGTCAATGTACATAATTTTGATGACATTTTGGTACTCCAACTATGTACACGTAAAAGAGCAGAAATTTTGATTTTCGTGGGATATATTTTCTCTGAAATTCTTTGAAAATCGATGGGCTGCGATTTGACAAATTCTAATTTGAACTTTGTCAATTTAACACGCATCCTAATGGTACAAAAAGTAAGGAGAGTTCTACCGAAACCCAATTTATTTTTCCCATTCATATGTGGTGGTTCATGGCCCGATGTTAAGTCCACGAACCCAATCAGAACGATCTGCTTCGCCACGTGACAAAATATTGAAAATATCTGAATAAATATTTCATCGTTGATTGGCCGATTGGTTTTGTGGCGTCTTACAGTTGCTGCGGCAGCTGCCAGGAGGAGCAATATTGAGAGTGAACTCAGCTGGGGTTTATTTACACAGTAGTCGCTTAAATCGGGCAGATTTATCAAGGTGAGATAGGAACAATGGAAACCTTGTGAATCAAGATGCCAAAATCCCGAATCAGAACTAATGTGTTATTATGACATTCTATTTTAAAACTTAATACAATTTGAAAATCTTATATGATGAATTATATTGTATCATTTTAGGTCACCATTATTGAAGGAGCTTTGAAATACTGTACGCTATGGTATTTTAATCACATGGTTCAGCATCAGCCAATTAAATCACATGATTTAAAGCAATGATATAATATCAAGTGATATTCAACGGAAGTCATGTTATCTTCAAAATCTGAAATATCAGAATTTGGTTTAAATTCCACATGCTAATGACATAGGACTCTGTTGTGCAAGATAACTTAAAATCAAAATTGGCTTCCATTGTTCATGAAAAATGTAATTTTTACAAGTAATAGGATTTGGTGCAAAATTTATGTGGTAATGATTTATCGTCATAAGACCTCTGCTCAAAACAGAATTTACTAATGGCATCGCATCACATCAAAATATGTTTTGTTCGGTTGGATTTGCCTCTTCGCTGCGGTTGGATTGGCTACTCTGTGCAGTTACTATTTTTCTAGTTTAACATTAGGAGGCCCGGGTAGGTCAAAGTTGAATATTGCACTGTTTGCACTTTCGAAACTAATTGTAGCACTCGGCTCTATTTAACGATTGTGGACTGCAAGTGAACGTTATAACAAATTCTATATCATATCAATTAACATTTATGTTGCCAACCTTATTAACTCATCATGCTGAAATCCCGTTAACATAACATAATTTTCATCATTTTCGTAATTGCTGCACTTTTTAGCCCATTTATTCACGTAACTAAGTGAGGAAGTATATTGATGATTTTGCAGTCTTACAATGAAATACGTGCGCAAAAGCTTGGATTTTCTGAAACATAACACTCTGACACACGTTTGTGCAAAAAATATAGTGTTGATTCTGCTTTTATCTCGTGAAACAATGGAAAAACAAAAATGTATCGAAATCGTTTGCGCCATTTTGTTACGAAAACGGATCCGTTTTTTCGCTTCACGAGTTCCTCCACAGTGTAGATGGCATGACAGTGGGTGTTTCAAAGATGTTCAAAACAACCATGCAATTAAATTGTTGGACAGGTTTATAAATCTCAAGCCTTATTATATAGATTTTGATTAGTCTCATGAGGTGTATATTCATATATTTATTTTCTTTTGGTCCAATTAGATCTAAACATGTTCAACTGAAAATCTAGAGCATTCAAATTATTTTCAGGTACAACAAGGTTAATAATTATCTTACTGACAAAATGACTTTCACATCTGGACCATGCCGTTATTAAAGTTTAATAATGCCTACTATACACCCTACCAGGCATTCATTAGATAGAGCATGGCTAGCCTGGCGAGAGGGAACACTAGTTGTTACCTGTACCTTACAGAACCACGTCTGCTGGAGGTTACTTCGTATCATAGAGCAGATAGGTTCCTGGTAAGTAATTAGGTCATCTTAGCAGGTCATTTTTTAACCACAGTGCTACTTTTTTGTTCTTAAAAGTCCTGTATTCGGCAGTTTGGTGGATGCTTCATCTTTTTGGATATTGATGAGAATTTTGGTATATTTGTAGAAATCAGCCAGAAACTACATTTTTAAGCTCTGCTAAATTTTTGACTCCCCGAATTAACTGGACAAATCCGAGAACTATTTACTTGTTTCATGGGTAGATTTAAAGCCAATTTGTATTGGAAAAGTAATTATATATTAAAAAAAGCTTAAAATGAAAAATAGATCCTTGTTGATTATAGTCAAAATGACCATATTTTTGTTTCCAAGTGGTAAATTGTGTAGTTACTTAATAGAGAGTATATCTCAATGAATTTAATAATTTGATTTTTTGAAGAGTTCTAGTCATAAAAATGACCCCTGTTTAAGTCCATTTTAACTTCATAAAATTCCAAGTGATTTGGCTTTATTTTTAAAAATAAATCCAGGACTGTAGTGTAGTAGTATTGAAAACTTTAGAATTCAATAAATAGCTCACTCCTATTGAACTATAGCTAAACACTTAAGATTTCAAAAGGACATAGACTGTAAGCAGCTATTTACAGTCTGGATCATAGGTGAAAAGCATTGCTCAAAATGTTAAAAAACAAAACATCATTTGCAAAGGTGTACTTCATTTTATGCCTCGGGATGATTATACTCATGGTGAATTTAAAGTATCAAACTACGTATAGAGACATGAAAGAAGGAGTTCCAGTGCCAGTCAAGAAATCTGAGGAGGCGAAATACGGATACGATCAACATCTAAATGACAACATGTTACCATTTGGAGTTTATCCAAAAGCAACTAAAAAACTTGTTATATACAACAGAATGTCGAAATGTGGATCATCAACGATGCTTTACCTTCTGGGCCAATTGAGAATAAGGGCCAAGTTCAACTTGATACGATCAACATTATATGGTGAGAAAAACCACCAATTAGATAAGGAGGGGCTTGGTGAATATGTAAAATCATTTCAAAATCTTACTACAAATAAAGTTATATTTGAGCGACATATATATTTCATGGATTTTGAAAAGTTTGGGTACAGGCAGCCAATATATTTTAATATCATAAGGGATCCCTTTGAGAGAACTTTGTCACGTTTTTATTATCAATTTACAAGGCTTAACTCTAGGAAAAATAAAAGAATTGAATTCTATAAAACTCATTCAAAGAATGAAACATTTGAAAAATGTATAAGAGATAATCTCAACAGTTCTTCCTTAGTTACAAAATGTATGTTAGTTGACTACGACGATTATGTTCGATGGTTTTGCGGGCATGAAAATGAGTGCGCCAATGTGGACTATGGCCTTGCAAAAGCAAAATATAACATTGAGAAATACTACATGTTGATAGGGTTGACTGAGGAGTATACACACACTGTACATGCCTTGGAAATGCTTCTGCCATCATACTTTAAAGGCATGGTACAATTTTACATTCAGTCAAAAAAGAAACAAAATGCTACACCATCATCAAGAAAGAAAAGACCATCTAATGAAATCATTCAGTTTATTAAAAACAGATACAAGAACTCTTATGAGATATACAATTTCGTTAAACAAAAGTTCTATTTGACTATTAGAAGCCTTGGATTAAATGTCTAGAGAGATAAACAGTTGTACGACAAAGACATGTTTTATTGACCATTTGAGAATGCTTGGAATTTGTAGAATTATAATTTCCATCTCAGTGATATATACTTTTTCATAAACAACTATTATAATTGATGATTAATTATCCCACCGAACGAAGTTGAGGGGGACATAGAGAAGCCGGCCATTTATCCATCCGTTTGTCCGGTTAATAAGTCAAATACCAATTGACAAATTTGATTAAATTTTATAGGCTTATGCCTCATAGGTGTGGGACCTCCGCCCAAGAAGGAATTTTCAATATGGCCACTCAATTTAAAATGGCCACCATTTTTCGTAAAAATATGTAACCTTTGAAAATTCAAATACAAGTTGAAGGGTTTGGCTCAAATTTTATATGCTGGTGTCTCGTTGCAAATGAGTTTTGCTCAAAAAGAGATTTTCGAGATGGCCACAATTTTTGTAAAAAATGTTATCTTTGATAAACCAAAATACCAGTAAACAGAAATTTCATATGCTGATGCCTGGGGATACAGATGGTCTCTGAATTTCACAATGGCCACCATTTATCGTAAAAGAACGTAATCTTTGATATCTCAAATCCAGTTGAAGGATTTGGTTCAAATTTTATATTATTATTAATTATTTATTTCAATTGAATACACAAACAATATAAAAATGCCTAAATTCTTAAATCGCCAGAATGGCATTATTTCAGAACAAAGGGGGCAGGTGGAAGTAGAGGTGGCAGAGCAATCAGGGTCTTGAACTAAGGCAAGTGTGACGGGACTATAGGATACTAGAGATGAACAAGAAGGAGGGAATTAGCTATTGTCTTTGATAAAATTAACAATAAGAAGTGATATTTTGGAATTTACGTCAAGGTTTAGCCGAATTCCTATTTTTAACATAGCTATGAAATCAGTTTGAGAAAGAGTATGGCTGAAGATCTTAGTTTCCAGTTCACAAAGTTTGTCTTTAAATTTCTGTCTTTGTAAGGTGAGTAAGTCAATATGAAATATAAAATGCTTCAGGATTTGTGGTTTTTCACAAGATCAGTTAAGGTTGCCAATAGACTTAAAGTTGTGAGCGTAAAATTGGGCTTTAACATATAGGTCAGCCCTTACTATTTCTTGCTAAATTAAGCTGGCTTGTCGACAAAAGTGAGGGCGTTTTTGGAAATAAAATCTTTGGTGTCTTTTAAATTTTGGAAAGTATTCTTAGATTTGATAGCAGATGGTAGATTGATCCAATCTGAAACTGCAGTAGGTATTGCTGAGGTAGAGAATCTATTTGAAGATCGAATGGGCACATTTTATATGCTGATGCCATATACAAGGTGTCCACTAAATAAGGTGAAAGACATTGTCACTTTCTTAATATTGCACCAATCTTGATGAAATTTTCAGAGTTTGTAGCCCAAACCTTTTTAGCAAGACTTCAGGAAATGGGCAAGAATGGGTTTGAAAGTGTGTTTAGAGAGTGGGTGAATAGGCATAAGAAGTGTATAGCTAGAGATGGACATTATGTTGAATAGCTTCATAACAATGGGACTTTAGGACTGTTTTTATATTGTATTTGTGGTAGTAATAGAACATTTTCAGAGAGAATAGATATGTTTTGGAAAGTTGTGACGTAAACAAACTTGCCCGCCTTTTTGTTGTTTCGGTTACTATAGCAACCACAACTCTGGCCAATCAAATAGAAGACGTGTTAAAGTCACAGAATAAAGGTAAAAAGGTTTTGGCTACAAACTCTGAAAACTATATCAAGATTGGTGCAATATTAAGAAAGTTACAATATCTTTCACCTTCTTTATTGGACACCCTGTACATTTAATATGACAGCTGAATTTCGAAATCGTATACAAATCAAATACCACTGCTTAAAGATAAGGGGGCTCTGCTCAAGAATTTCTTCAAATACCAGTTGATGAACTATTTGGTTCAGATTTTATATGCTGAGTCAACGCTCTGCTAAGAAGAAATATTCAAAATTGGATGATTTATGAAAATATGTTTATTCGTTGAGATTTGCTACTTTGTGGAGTTGCTGTTAATTTATAGCATTAGGCAGGTGGAGTTTTTATGTCACCACCACAGTTGGACATACGTATATTGTTATATTATTATAGTCTCCGGCATAATGTCTCTGTTTTTGCATTTGCAACATAACACACATTAACAATAGCCTTGCAGCCAATTATGTCATTTATAGCTTCACTGTTCCACAGCTGCATGACTCTAACTCTAACTGCAGTTAGTATCATTCAAGATGGTAACCATTCATTTTCGTTAAACTTCCGATTTCAGCTAATCTAATGTAGCGCCTAGCCTAGTTTGGATCGTGTGGGTGTTGTTATTTCTAGACAAGGTCACTTTGGGGATATTTGGTGCACGTCAAACGCACGTGTGAGAATAAAGAGACACAATATTTAGTGTAAAAATAACAACATATATTCTGACTTCAATTCTTCCGCCTCAAAATAATACAACATAAATTGATAGTTTATACTAAGTTTCAGTTTCAGAGATGCTTTAATCAAAGTACCTTCTGCAATAATACGTGTACATTTATTTACCCTGCATGCAGAGTCTAGTTAAACTACACTCTGCCTAGTAGAGACCATATTACAGTTTAGTAGCCCCGCCCCCCCCCCCCCCCACGACGGGTACCGGTGACAGTTTGGGTAATAAATCACTTCTGACCTATGCGCTGGCCTTTCTTCCACCATTCAGGGAGCTTGAAGAAACATACGCCAAATGCGTTCTAATTAAATATGCGCATGTCATTGGTCAATTCCTGGCTCAACGATGACGTCAGAAGGAATGACCATATATAGAACGTCGGTCAAATTTGGCCGACGAACCCTGATTGGCGCGGTGAGTTCACAGGTTTATTTTAGTTTGAAAGAGTGAAGACGAAGCTCTCTTAAGAAGTGAAGTCAAACGAATGCAAAGGGTAACATTTATTTATATATAGACACTTATTTTTTCGGTCTTATAATGTGGTATGTAACTTAGAAATAGAATAGAAATAATATCATTTACTAATGCCTCGGTCACAAATGAAACAGCTTCCCAAAATCGCGACAAATATTCAGTATAAAATAAAAGGAAACCCAGTGCGATGTAGATTTTCTATATCGATTTTTGAAGCTACGGCCGCCGTACGGACGCCTTTGAGCAACTGTGGCATTGTAGCACACCTTGGAACTATGTAATTATGAGGGTTATTTCTAATATTGACAGATTGAGTAGTTAAAATGAAGTAGATACAAAAGGCGAATTTGTTTGAATAGTCCCAGCTCCACATAAAAAACGATTTACGATTTTACACGGTATTCGTTATGGAATTCCTTGAAACCGTCCATGATATTTAATATACGGTATAGTGCAGTCAGTTATGACAATAAAACCCTTGAATTGCACTTGCTATATATAAAGCACAATTTTTTGACCTAAGTATCATTAATGCTTATATTTTTGATATCTAACAAAGTGGTGTTGAAAATTGGCCCCGGTTGAAAATAGCAGTCTTCGAAAAATTTGCATATTTACATTGAGCCCCATGTTAATTTATCAATCTTCAAAAGACCCCCTGCAGTACAGTTCTATAGAAATAAAGCCCATATTCCCAGGATGTTACAATATCCTGATTATCTTCAAAATAAGAAGGGTTAAATTTTTTCTTTTTCCTATTTCCAAAGATATTGGCGTTTGAATTTTGGAAATTCCCCATTGGCTGCCATTATAAACGGCTATCAATGTGGCTTTGCTAAAGTGTCCTTTTCTCAAAAAGTCCATTGTGAAATTTTCTAATATCGCAGATTTCTATAGTTGATATATTGATTTTAATAAAATCAAACAGGTACATTTCTAAAAATTTCTTATTTTTGATATATTTAGTCATTAAAAACTATAAAAACCTATATTGAGCCCTATGTTAATTTGTTAATTTGTTATGTTAATTTGAGCCCTATGTTAATATCTGCAATATTAGAAAATTTCACAGTGGACTTTTTGAGAAAAGGACACTTTAGCAAAGCCATATTGATAGCCGTTTATAATGGCAGCCAATGGGGAATTTCCAAAATTCAAATGTCAATATCTTTGGAATTAGGTAAAAGAAAAAAATCAACCCCTCTTATTTTGAAGATAATCATGTTATTGTAACATACTAGGAGAATGAGCATTATTACTCTAAAACTGTTCTGCAGGGGGTCTTTTGAAGATTGATAAATTAACATGGGGCTCAATATAGGTTTTTATAGTTTTTAACGGCTAAATATATCAAAAAATAAGAAATTTTTAGAAATGTACCTGTTTGATTTTTTTTAAATCAATATATCACCTATAGAAATCTGCAATATTAAAAAAAATCACAGTGGACTTTTTGAGAAAAGGACACTTTAGCAAAGCCATATTGATAGCCGTTTATAATGGCAGCCAATGGGGAATTTCCAAAATTCAAACGTCAATATCTTTGGAACTAGGTAAAAGAAAAAATTTAACCCTTCTTATTTTGTAGATAATCATGTTATTGTAACATAATAGGACAATTGGCATTATTTTTCAAAAACTGTTCTGCAGGGGGTCTTTTGAAGATTGATAAATGAACATAGAGCTCAATGTAAATGAGCAAAATTTTCGAGGCCTGCTATTTTCAACTGGGGCCACTTTTCAACACCACTTCGTTAGATATCAAAAATATATGTATTAATGATACTTATTTCAGGAAAATGTTGCTTTATATATAGCAAGTGCAATTGAACAGCTAACTGACCCCACTAGTACCCTTGGGTACCTCACTCCATCACGCTGTTACCGAAGCACAACTCGTCGAAACAAAGCTCCGTTTTGGTAACAAGATGGCTACAGTTCCGGTTGGAAAGTTCGGTAAGATTTTTCTTTATCCCTGATTTCCCGATATATAGCATGAAACATCACATGTTTTGGGCACAAACATGTATACGCATTATATTATGTTTCTGGAAATCCAAGTGATTTCGCATGAAATAGGCTGGTTGTGTATATTTTCTTAAACATATGACACTAACACATGTCCAAGATAAAAATGGCATTGGGATTCTGCCTACAACTCGCGAAATAATGAAAAAAATCGTACCTGCGAGGTTCCGACCATAGATAGAAGAAAATGTTGAAAATCTATTTAATACCCATATTTTCTCTGTTGACAT